CCCCCCGGGGGGTGATTTCTCGCTTTCTGTCTCTGTCTCTCTCTGTCTTTTTGGCAAGGGCACGTGCCCTATAGCAAAAACCTCTCTTTAAAAAAAAAAAAAATCTAAGTTGTCCCAAATAGTCAATACCTGCTTGGTGCCCATCATATTTTCCTGGAGCTGCAAGTGTTGATAAACTCCAACTTGATAAACTTTTCAAAAACAAAGTTTATTTATTTCCTTCATGAGAGAGGGAGGTTCCACCAACGGGGTCTTCACATGACAATCTATATTCAGACTCAGCCAGCTGGGCTCATGGGCTCATGCATTTGCTGTATAGTGGGGACATGAACCAAGGACTTTCTCATGAGTGCCCAGCTGCAATACCACTATACTATTTCATGGCCCTATTTTGTAAGATACTCATCTTACAAAAGATGGGATTGGGAGTAGCCATATGCAGGAGTATTTGAAAGCTGGGAGTATTTAAAACTTGGAGGTTCAGCCAGTCTCCCAGACCTCAGTAACTTCGGAGGCACCATGGCCTCAGAAGTTTCAATCAGCCTTCTAGAAGGTTCTGCCAGTAACATACGCTGTCACTCTGGGCAAGTGCTTTTCCTTGCCATGGCCCAAGTTCCCATTTATAAAATGAGGAGCTAAGATTCAGTTGCCCTTTGCTACTTGGCACCTCCAACACTTCATACTCCCTATTGTGTCCTACTGGTCATGCCAAGTTTCTAGGAAGAACAGAGGTTGACTGAAGTCACCCAGAAAGTTGGAGGAAGAGCTGGAAAATGACCCTATTGTGAGAAGCAAAAAGGCGTGTTCTCATGCTTACCACTGGGATGGTCATATTATCCCGACAGTGCCTTGCACACTGCAGGGACTTGCTAAAGACTGTTGAATGACTGAATGCAGTTTCTGGATTCCTGAGTTAGCTACCTTTCTATCAGGCTTTGAGAAAGGCCCTTGTCTTCTCCACCAAGACTGTCTATCTGTCGCTGAATATCACTATTGAGTCATTGGGAAAGGCACGATGCATTTTCGCATAGAAAAATAATGTCGTGATTTTTCCAACAACCCAATATTTTATAATTGGTGTCAGAACTGGCCAGGGAGAAAGAAGTTGGGACTTACCTCAGTTCCCACAGGGGTCCAGGACCAGTGACTCTTACAGGTCTAACTGCGGAGGAAACAGGCAACAGATGCACGTGGGAAGTTACACACCCTGGGGCACCTTGGGCCAGCAAACTTGCACCTTAAAGACTGGGTGCTGCTGGGCTTTCTGGAAGATCACAGCATCCTGGAGACAGAACCATGCATGGTGTTGTCATAGCAGCTGGAGGTTCCCAAGCATTGAATTCAGAGGCAGAGAATGTAGACTGTGATCCTGGGCTCTGTGCTAAACTAACCCAGCATTTTTGAAGGTTCAGGAGGATAATACATTGAGGCCATCAACAAGAGAATCTTATTTCCTATTCCAGCCATTTTTCATTCATTTGTTTACTGCTCTATTTTAAGAGATGTCACAAGATGATCCTCAGTTGATTGGAGCACTGAGGGTAATTTCCCTTCTAGAAAAGGGTTCTAAGTCTGAAAATCAGGGGCTTTCAAACTTTTTAAAAGTTTCTAAAATTCTTTTATCCATTTTTTTTTTTCATGAGAGAGAGAAAGAGAGATGGAAATAGAGAGACAGTCACTCCATCAGGGTCTGCATGATGCTGTTCAGTCCCAGTCTCAGCTAGCCTGCATCATGGGTATGTGCACGTGTCTGGCATACTCAGGAAAATCCCAAGATGTGAACCCATGACCTTTCCCACGTGGGTCTAGTCATGTCACTGTGCTACCATTTGGCCTCTCAAACTTTCTTGAATGTTACTCACTAAAAAAAAATACATTTTCTGATAGGCCATGTTAGTGCAGGTCATAGAGCACCACTGTGCAATGCTGGAGCCATATGTGAGGCCTTGGGTTTGGATCCCAGGTCCACCTGAGCACACCAGGCATATCTGCATGTACATCCATGATCTTGGTGGGCTGGAAGACTGCGGGGAAAGCACGGTGTAGTGAGGCGCTCTCTCTCTTTCTCTCTCTCTCTCTAAATAAACTTGAAAAAAAAGCATCTTTCAAAAATCAATCAGGATCCAGTATACATGCATATACTTATTATTGAAACAAGAGTTTCAAAAACTAAAACCTGACTGTTGTGTATGTGATGCATTCTCAATACAGAGGTTCTGTCTCAATTTTAAAGAAGTATTTATTTTATTTATTATTAGTATTTTAAATTTTCCTATAGGGCACGTATGTTCACCAGAGAGAGAGAAAGTGAGGTAGTAAAATGCAGTTGAGGGACCAGCAAGTGGCATAATGGTTAGGTTGCTGTATTCCCACGTAGTCTACTGCAGTTCAAGTCCTGGACCTGATGGCTTAAACTCATGCTGGACGTGTGTGAAATGCAGGTTTCCAGGCTTCACCCCAGATTTGCTGTGATTCTGATACTAGCAAAAGTTGGGCAATACTGCATTTTACAGAACAGAACAGTATACAGTTGTCCCTGTGTCCTGGATTCTGCAAGTATGAATTCAACCAACCACAGATTCAAAATATTTAGTGGCGGGACCAGCAGTTAGTGTAATGGCTATGTTGCTGGACTCCCATGTAGTCGATCACAGTTCAAGTCCTGGAGCCAGTGGCTTAAACTCATGCTGGGCACGCGTGCATGCGTGCCCAAGATCCTGAGAGGAGAATGGAGGAGAAGGGATTGCGGCATGGTCATCCCCTGTGGGGGGTGATTTCTCACGTTCTGTCTCTCCATCTCTCTCTGTCTTTCTGGTGAGAGCATGTGCCCTATGGCAAAAATATCTCCAGAAAAAAAAATAAATAAATAAAGGAAAATATTTAGTGGGTGAAAAAAGCCAGTTCCAAACTTTTTTCTTATCATTTTTCCCTACGCTGTATAATATGACAACTATTTATGGAGCATTTGCCTTGTATTAGATATTATAAATCATCTAGAGATAATTTAAAGTGGAAGGTATATGGAGATTATGTGCAGATACTATGCCATTTTATGGAAAGGACTTGAAGGTCTGCAGATTTTAGTATCTGGAACCAATACCCCACGAATATCGAAGATGACTGTAGTTTTCTAATCTTTTTCCTTGAAAGACCAAACGGTTGGTTTTTAAGCCACTGAGGAGGTAGCTTGGAGGTAATGTAAATGCCACCTGCAAAAAGTCTCTGAGGCCCTGTCTCTTCTTTTTCCTGCTTCCTTTTCCAAACTCATCTCAAACCATGTGCCCTTCACAACCTTGCTCTAGTCAGCTTTTTCCAGGCCCACTTCTTTTCTGGTTTTCAAACTCACAGGCCTTTCTGCTCCTGAACCTTTACCCATAGTACACCTAGGCCTGGAGAGCTTGCCCTCCCTCCTCTCTGCTCCTGCATAGCTGGCTCCTACCTAGTAAGGGGTCTTAACTCAGATGCCCTTCTTCAAGAGGGACAGCTCTGCCTAAATTGGTCTTAGCCAGTCCACTTTCTTTTCTTTTCTTCTATTTGTTTTCTTTCTTTCTTTTTCTTTCTTTCTTCTTTCTTTCTCTTTTTTCTCTTGTCCTTTCCTTCCTTCTTCCTCCTTTCTTTCTTCTTCTTTCTTTCTTTCTTTCTCTTTTTTCCTCTTGGTTCTTTCCCTCCTTTCTTTCATTACGGGACACATGTACTTGCCACAGTGAGAGAGAGAAGAAAAGTGAGAATCACCCTCCACTGGGGATGATCACGCTGCAATCCCGTCTTCTCCCTTCTCCTCCTCCTCCATTCTCCTTTCAGGATTTTGGGCACACATGCACACATGCCTGGCATGATTTTCAGGCTAATGGGCCCGGGACTTGAACCTCGAAGTTGGCCATGTGAAAGTCCAGTGCCTTAACCTCCATACCACTGTTTTCTTTTCACCGTAGCCCTTAACGGGATTGATAAATATTTGCCTCTAATTAAATATCATCAGCATAGAATACTGCCTGCATATAGTAGGTCCTCAATAAATAGTTCTTGAAGGAAAGCTTCAATTAATGAGTAATTCTCAATTGGAAGAACTCAGGACCATGTCATAATCACCTAAGGGGGTTGTCAATCTCCCAAGCTCTGCTTCTCCCTCTGACATGGCCTGTTCTCCCTCCAGTGGGAAACTCTGTCCACTATTTCAGAAGAGGAGAGAAAACATTGAGAATTCCCTCTCCTGGATGATCGTTGTCTCTCCAGTCCTTCAGTATTCTCTTTTTGTATTGTTTTAATTAGGGCAGTACAGAGTCAGTAGTCCCAGACTTAAGTTAGGACACGCGAGATCAAAGGAGAGGTCACCTGCAGCCTGACTATTGAGCTGAGCTGTTACTTTAGACCCAGGATGGTAGGGGTAATAAGACTGGCCCCAGTCCCCTGATTGAGTTGTCAAGGCTCCAGCTGGATAGGACTTATGAAAATGCCATGTGTTACAATGAATGCACAGACAGAAGACCTGAAGTACTGACCCTCATATCACATTTATAACGTAGGGGCACGACCCTCCCAAGAAAGTGGAGAGCCTTGGCATCTGAGTCCATAACTGGGCATGCAAACATGAAAATTCCTGCATGTCTTCTAAACAGAGTCTCTGAGCCCCTGGGCTTGTCGTGATTTGCATAACGATTTGCATATTGTCTGCAAGTCATTCCAGGCAGGTGGGAATGCACCATGATCCTTAATAGTCTTGCTCTCCCTCCTCCAACCATCCTTGGCCTCTTCCGCCTTCGCATCTTCCCTGCTGGAACCCAGCCTAGAAAAATGGTGGGTTGGGCTCCCCCTGGGGCTCCCATTGCCTTCTCCTTCCATCCAGAAGCAGGTATGGGGGCATATCTAGGCCTGAAGGGAGCCTGGAATGGCATGCTGTCTGATGGATGGCAGGCCTTAAGCGTGACTGAGCTTTCACAGCTGAAACCATTAAAGGTTATTCTCCTTTTAATTCTTTGTGGTCGTTCTCACTCCTTCCTTAGAGAAACCTCTGATTTTCACTTGCAAGACGCTTGGCTGCGCTTGTCATACCCTAAAAGGTGATTTCAGTTCTCCGATGCCAAAGAACCTTTTCTGCTAATCAAAACACAGCTGCAGAGGCCCCGTGTGATCTGCTAATGGGCACCCCAACTCGAGGGTATGTCTGTCTGTACCTGGGAAAATAGATATAATTAGGATAACAGATATCATATGTATATGCAAATGCAGCAGGTAAAAATGACTAGAAATAAGACAGGGCTGCTGCCTGCCAAATCCCAGCAGACCAGCTGTGCCGCTTAACCAGACTCTAATACCATCACCACGGGCCTTCTCTGGGACCAGCTCTGGTCCCCTCTCTTCATCCCCCTTTCTCCCTCCTACTGGACCCCTCAGACAAATTATATTTTTTACTTTTATTTATTTTTTTAAAAGAGATTTTTGCTATAGGGCACATGTGCTCGCTAGAGAGACAGAGAAAGACAGAGAGACAAAAAGCGAGAAATGATCCCCCAGGGAGGATGGCCACACCACAATCCCTTCTCCATTTTTCTCTTGAGATTTTGGGCATGCATGCACATGTGCCCAGAGTGAGTTTTAAGCCACAGGGTCCGGGACTCAACCATGGTTGACTACTTGGGAGTCCAGCTACATAACCACTATGCCACCTGCTGGCCCCTATATTTTTATTTTTTAATATAAAAATAGAGCTTTGTTATTTTTCAAAGAGGATCTTTCAGTAACCCCAGATCTTTTTTATTTTTATTTTTAAATTTGCCAGAGGGTGTGTACACTAGCCAGGGAGAGACAGAGAGACAGGGAGAGGGAGAAAGCACTCCACAATGGGTAATGGTCATACCACAATCCTTTCTCCTCCATTTCTCCATTCTGTTGAGATTTTGGGTATTCATACACATGCATATAGTGTGTTCTTCAAGACGCCAGAGTTGGGATTCAAACCATAGTCAGTTACGTGGGATCTGGCTTCCCTTAATCTGGCTTCCCCATGGAGCCTTCCCTAGCCCCAGATCTTATAAGGCTGGGAGGATCCTAGCATGGGAGAGGCAAGTGAGAGAAAGACAGTCAAGAAGAAGGAGTCTCTTCAATATTTTTCCTTGGTTAAGGGTTTTGTCCCCTGAGTGACAGCAATATGACCAGAGAGGACCTGGCACATCAGTGCAAAGACTAACTTACATTTTCAGAGAGAACCACCCCATCCATGCTGTCCAGACTCAGCAGACTCAGCTTTACGTTTCATGTCTGCTTTTCCTGGTGTTGTGGACATGGGGGAGAGACCTACTCTCTGTGTCTTGGGTTCTTCACTCTAAAACTGGCACGATAACAGCACCTGCCTCAAAGCGCCTGGCCAGACATAAATGCTCAGATAATGTTACTCTTTATAGTAAGAATGTAGGAGGGTAAAGAGAGTCAAGGACGAGATCCAGTGTCCTCACTTTACTATTTCATCCCATCATCTGTCATTGGATAAATTATTTCACGTCTCTGAGTCTCGGTTTCCTCATCTGCAAAGTGGGCTAATAATACTACTTTCCTGAGGCTATGCATAGACAGGGGAGCTAAGCAGACAGTGGAAGGATGCCATGGTGCTGTGAAACAGTGTACCATTGACCGGATCTAATTATGCATCGAGTCATCGCGTCTGTATCTCGGAGCTCCAAGTCCAATGGGACTGGAGAAAAGCTCTGTGAGTGCAGCCTGGAATCTGGTAGGGTTTGACCAGACCTCCCATCTGGTCTATCAATAAAAGCTACAAAACCGTAGGCATTTAACCTAGGCATTGCCTTTAGCAAATTGTGCAGTTACTCCACATGGGCATCCAACTTCTATTCATCTACAAGGGCCCACAGTGGACACTGAACTTTGTTGTTGGGATTGGCCTCTGTGCCTTTTCTCACTTCTGTATATTCTGTGTCTAACACAGGGCCTGGTGCACTATAGATGCTCAACAAATATTTATTGATGGATGGGTGAATAGATAAATCACCTGAATCAACAGATGAATACATCATGGGCTACATTGTAAACTTATTTCTCTACCCTATGGGTGGAGTGGAAAAAGCTGGTGGAGGGGAACTGGCGGATGACATGGTGGTTAAAGGTGCTGGACTCCCACATGACCAACTGTGGTTTGAATCCCAGACCTGGTGGCTTGCTTTCTCACCTTCTCTCTTTTTCTCTCTCTCACTCTATCCTCTCTGGTCAAATTAAAAGAAAGAAAGAAAGAAAGAAAGAAAGAAAGAAAGAAAGAAAGAAAGGAAAAAAGGAGGAAGGAAGGAAGGAAGGAAGGAAGGAAGGAAGGAAGGAAGGAAAGAAAGAAAGAAAGAAAGAAAGAAAGAAAGAAAGAAAGAAAGAAAGTTAAATAAAATAATAATAATAATAATAATAGCTGGTGGAGTTCTGGTTCCTCTGTAGATGATGGAGGAGGCAATGTTTGTACAGCATATATAGATTTCAGTGTCAGAATCATGTTCACATTTCAATTTAGCCATATCTTAGCAATGTTATTGCAACTTCAGTTTAAGAACATTTTCTGGGGCAGGCCAGCTGGTGGCATGGTGGTTGGAGCACTGAATCTTGCATGGCTAACTGTGGAGTTCAAGTCTCTGACCAAGCCGTTTGAAAAATATGTTGGGCATATGTGTATGCATGTCCAAAATCTGAAAGGACAGAAAAATGGACGAGAAAGGATTGCAGCATGGCCATCTGCATGGGGGCTGCTTTTTCTTTTCCCTCTCTCCTTCTCTCTGGTGAGTGTGTCCCTTTCAGCAAATTAAAAAAAAAGAAAAAGAAAAATCTTCTGCAGCTGGCCCTGTGGCATGACAGTTAAATGCTATCTATGCATGGAAAGCCAGATCCTGAATGGCTGACCCTGGTTCAAATCCCAGCCCTGGTGGCTTGGAAAGTATGCCGAGCACATCTGCGCGTTTGTCCCAGGTCCTGATGGGATGGAGAAGTAGGGGAAGAGGATTGCACCATGATGACACCCACTGAGGAGTGCTTTCTCTTTCTCTGGTGACCACATGCACCCATTGGCAAGAAAAAAAGAAAGAAAGAAAGCTTGCTGAACTTTAGTTTCTTATCTGTAAAATGAGGATAGGAAATTAGGTTGTTGAAGATGTCATGATGTATTTTTCTATGCAAAAATGCGTCATGATGTTTCTGATGACCCAAGATTACCTTCTTTATAAAGTTACTGTGTAGTTTTTAAAAAGTTTTTTTTTTTTTATTCAAGGTTTTTGACATAGGGTGCGTGTGCTCACCAGAGACAGACAGTGAGAGGGGAAAGTGAGAAACCATCCCTGGGGGAATGACCATGCTGCAATCCCTTTTCCTCCATTCTTCTCTTGGGATTTTAGGCACGCATGCACATACTTTTGGTGTGATATTCAAGCTGCCAGGTCCGGGACTTGAACCACTATCTCCCATGTGGGAGTCCAGTGCCTTCTACCTGCTGGCCCCAGTTATGCAAATTCTTTAAACTTGTCAATGTCAATGCCTGGCTTGTTCCTAAAGGGAAGGTGGGACCATTGAAGTCAATCCCCTTTCCCTTCTATTCTCTTTACTCACTGCACAGATTTTAGTTATTTATTTTTTTTTTTGAGAGAAATTTTTGCTATTGGGCATGTGTGCTTGCCAGAAAGACAGAGAGACAGAAAACGAGAAATCACCCCTCAGGGAGAATGGCCACGCCACAATCCCTTCTCCTCCATTCTTCTCTCAGGATCTTGGGCACGCATGTACATGGGCCTGGCGTGAGTTTAAGCCACTGGATCTGGGACTTGAACTGCAGTGGACTACATGAGAGTCCTGCTAAGTAGCCATTATGCCACCTGCTGGTCCCATACTCACTGCACAGATTCTTGGGATACTGTTTCATACCCAGACTAGTTTCAAGTCCCAGAAATGAATCTGACCCGTTATCTCACCATGCATTGATGTTTCTTATTTGGTTGAAGGCATCAATATTTGCTCAATAGCGTAAGTCTTAAATAAGCATCTAAACGACATATTACAGATGATGAAAGTCATTTCCACAGAGAAGATTATCTCACACGATCATGTTTCCATCCTTATCTGGGGCCTCTGTAGTTGGGAAATCTTTGCAGCTACTTAAATGATAACATTAGTCCTAATACCATGTAAAATGACTAGTTCCGCAGGGTAGGTTTATTTTTAATAGTGTATGTCAGCAGCAAATAGCTTGGAAGACCCCAGAGGAAAAAAAAGCACATCTCACATTCTCGCTGAAGTGATGATATGGATATACTTAATATCTGTATTAAAAACCTTTTAGGCGCCATGGTGATATTGAACTGGCTGGTTAGACATGTGCAGAAAAAAAGAAGTCCTTGGCTGTTTATAGAGCATAAGGCAGTGTGTAGTATAGAAATCTTTTGAGATCGTTCAAAGTCAAATTTGGACTTCAAACATCTTCAAGAGACATTTGACCCCAGTAGTAAAATATTCTGAAATATAAGCTGGGAGAATAAAGTCACTTCCTTTTTTTTTTTTTTTATTTTTTTGGAAGTCTGTTGATAAGTTTGCTGCACTATTAAAATGTTTAATCACTCGCCTCCAGCAAGAACAACCTTTGGTCTGAAGTTGCAATTTATTAAAGTGCCCAGACAGAACATACTTGCTATTTACCCAAAAGATGGCTGGAGGATTCCTCGAGGGAAAACTAACCGCAATTTGAAATCAAGCATAGAGTGGCAAATGAAGGGATTGAAGGCAAAAATTATTTTTAGAGTGGATGTCAAGGCAGATAGTATAACAACCTGCTCCCATGACCTATCCCAAACGGACAGTGTTAAACATAGCGTGGTTTCAGATCTGGCCTATGACACATCCCTGGGACAGTTGCAGAAAGGGTGCTAGGTGTGCTCCAGGGAGGGGAGAAGGAAGAGCAGGGAATGGGCTGCTTGCTAAGGGCGTACCTTCTGCTTTCAGGTGTGGTCAGAGCAGCTCAGCTCAGAAGGACAATGGACAGATGCCCTCTTGGTAGACTGCTGCTCTCAAGCTCCCTTCACTCCTTGTCCTCCTGCAGATGGACCTTACTCAAGCCTTTCAGACGAAACCCAAGGCAAACTGAGTTCCAGGTCATGGCAGTGGCTCCGAGGCAAGTGAGCACCTCAGACAATGGAAATGTAGCTCTCTCTCGGGTTGTTGCCATGAAGGGTCTTCAACAAGTTCATGCAAAATGTACATTATGAAAAACTATGCCTTGATTTAAAAAAAAAATTGGTGCCAAAATAAGCTCATCTTAATTCTATTTTTCTGCAAAATTTTCGAAATCCTTTCATAGCATAATTCATGGACCCAGTCCTTGAAGGCAGTAGAGTGGATACCCCTTGAGTGGCCACAGATAATGAACTCCTTCTGACCATCCAGGACTGTGCCTTGGAAGGACAGGCGAGGGGAACGAGCCAGCAGATGTATAAAAACACAGGGCATCTAGGTATCACCCCAAGGCTTTGCCTATACAGATAGCTAAATTTCCTTTTTGATAATCATATCCCAAACCGGGTTATAAAGAATCACAGGTGTACTGGCAAAACAGAAGAGTATAACTTACTACATCTGGCAAATGTTGAGTGTCTTGAAAAGTTACTGGGCACAGTGGCGTAATCATGGCTTTCCTGTGTCCTGAACTGAAAAGCTAACCAAGCACACTCTGCTGA